CTGTAATGATATCACCATACAGAATTGCATCCAGATGGTCTTATGGAATACCTCATCTCGACAGAGCCCATTGCACCAAGAAACGGATATAAAGGTTGCTAGTGTAGAATTTAAATACAAGCATACCCGACTGGGCAAAACTCACCACTGAGTAGGATCCTAAAGAAATCAATAGGAACCCTAGAAGAGCAAGGAACAATAACTGTAAGTCAGATAACACATTACTCACCTCCCTGTTAAAATCTAGTAGAGGTAGTCAACACAGCCACAGGGAAAAGACAAAATCCTATCGAAGAGAAACTGCCAGATCATCAAGGTAATGAGATATGAATGTGTCAGAAGAAGTACACATACCAACCTGCAAAATATCTTATAGACAACAGTTCAACAGTCGAGTGGGGTATATAAAGACTGGAGCAAGTGAACACAGTGTTAGATGGCAAAGATGAAGATCGAAAAATAGCTATTAATGTCAGCAGAGGTATGTATGTTTTGGAAATCGGGTGATGTTGTGTGTGCTGTCAAGTAGAAATAATCAGGTGTTGTTGTATGTGTTGTAGGGAAGGGATAAACAGCAGTATTAGTAGATATATTTAAAGAGGAACAACATTTTAGAGTATATTACTGTATAAAAGATAATGGAAATTGTGAGAAAAACACACTAATTAATCAAAGTATTAAAAGTTTGTACCTTCTTTTTCCTTGGATATACGTTTGTGATGCTTGAAAGCTTCTTTCCTTTGTCATTAGATTGAAGAATAGCATAGTCTCTTGGGCACTAAGATGAAACAACAAATATTTTTTCATGTAAATTACATGCTGCTTAAACAGTGTTCTTTTTCTGCACCCATATATCAACTTATATACAACAGTGAAGCCTAACTTAAGATCTATCTTTGCAATTTCAAGTGTGTCATAGCACTACCTTTTTTAAAAATAATATTTGTATGTCTTCACAATGGCCAATGAAGAGATTATCCAGTTAAACATTACACCTATCTCCAAAGCAAATATCTCCAAAAAATATCTTTCTAGCATGTCCTATACTCATGCTGAAACATATAAAATGTAAAATAGAATGCATTTCTACCAACCAATGAAATTACACATTATTAGATTAGAAAAAGTTATTGCTGAATAATAAACTCTGAAATGGTTTGGGAAGTATTATCCTTTTAACAATGCCTCATTCAATGCTGTAGTTGTTATAGTTACATCACAATGATTATACATAGATATATAAATGTATATCATTTTTTGTAATGAAAAAAAGTCACAAGCTAGATTGACTTAAATAAAAGGCTCTAAATAGCAAATTTAAGTAATGACTTATACTCACCTTGTGATTAAACTGGAGCCTCATTACAATATTCAACTATACATCTATCTATGACTGCAAGATTTTGATAAAAACTTTCTTTTTGTATGAAATAACAGGATAATGTAATAAGCAAAATCAGTGTACAAATTTATTTCTTCATAAACTATTCTTGCAAGGTTATAACAACTAATGACGTTTCAGTGTTCATAGTATAGTTGAAACTGCTAGAACGTTTTTGAAGCAGTATCTTTTCCTTACGGCTACACTTCTGAAAAGTAGCTTCTGATGAATTAGCTTAAAGCCTATATCATTTGTTTATTAAAAGTTGCAACAAACACATCTGACTGCAGTCTTACACGACTTTTAAATCACTGCAATTCCATGCACCAAACAAATACATAACACTTACCATAAAGAACTAAGCAGAAAATTATTGAGAGAAACCTTTCAAACTTGGGTTTTTGTTTCATGCATACATAAGCAATGAAATTTGAAGAGAGAAATTGGTAAATTGTTGTCAAAATTTATTTTTATACTTACACAGCTATACTGTATGTTATACTTTAACACTTGTGTATGTCCATTTTCATGTAAATGTTTATATGTATATTAATAATGACCTATATTCTTCCAATGTTTTTATGATTACCAAGAACTCACTAATCAAGTTGTAGCTAGTACTACTAAGTATTTAAAAATTTCACTACTAAATCTGTCACATTTTCCAAACTACCACATTTATATGCAATTCTTAAATTACACACAAATCTGTTAAATTCATTTTTATTACTAGTTTAGTGAAAAGCCACTCATATTAAGCTTATTTCTATATCTAAAATACGTTTATGGAACAATATTATTATACCATAAAACAGTGTGTTTTCAAACTGTGGGGTGTGCCCCCTTGAGGGCATGGCCTTCTGGTGGGAGAGCCCAAAAATATCAACGGAAAAAATAGAAGAGTTGGAGACTATCACTTTCCTCTCAAAGCTTTTTTTGCTCTCTCATTTACTCACTTCTTACAAGCATTTTTTCATTTAAAAAAAAAGATTAAATGTAAATATATAAAATGTTGATTTTGATGTTATCATTTACGAAAATAATAATGTGAAGGGGGTTGGAATGGAAATTTTGCTGTGCTAGGGGGGCATTACTAATTAAAGTTTGGAAAACACTGCCTTAAAGGGACTTGACTTCCTAATGCATTTAACCTTTAACCACATATTTATGAAATAAAAAACTAACTCAAATTTATTCACTTCAGCACACTTATAATCCAACTTGTTTATACAAGCACAGTAATAATAGTTATTACTACTACTACTATATCTTCTTACTTCATTAGAAACTTTCTTTAATTTTTTCATTAAAAATTATGTTTTCACAATTTCTAACTTTCCACAATGGTGTACCATCCTTCAAAATTGTTGTACTTATAACTTATCAATTAGTTAGAAACTACAACAAGTACAAAAAGCATTTTCTTTCTAATGTACATTCTTTTGTTATGAGACTTAAATATGGTTTTCAATAACATAAAATACCATGAAAATTCCAAAACAGTTATTTAAGAAGCATTTTCAAAAACATTAAGATTTATTAACGCAAGTAAATTTTCTTACAATAGGTTATTTCACTCATTCCATGCCTATTTTAGTTCTTACGACATAAAAAGGGAATGTTGGGTAAAAGTTATTTTCCTATACTGAAAATATATTTCTGATACTTACTTACCTCCTCTCACGTGTATAGCTATTCTCAATCAATGCTGCCCTCTACATGTAAAAGTTTTTCACATGCCACAAGCCTTGAATTCCACGTACCCCACGATCAATGTGGTTCAAATGTGTCTTGCATGTAATTCATCATGCTTCAACCCTCCACAAATAGGAGTGCAACACACCTTCCTAATGCATGTGACTCCCTCTATTTGATTCTATCGACCTATCACTTTGAGATTAAGCAGAAAAGAAAAGCACCTGTTTTCAGTAGGGAGGAAGTGTGAGAAGAGGTAAGTGCTTATTGGAAATATACTTTCTGTATAGGAATATAAAAACTTCGGATACGGTACATCACCTCCTCTCACATGTATAGCTAGAATCTCACACTGAATAGGTGGAAGGACTGGTGCATGGGATAGAAATAAGTATGTTTTGAAAGCATCTGAAGAACACCCATGAAGTATGATCCCCGCTGGAAGAGGAACATACGTGGGAGACTGCACCACTTCTGTACCAGGTATTTTCTGTGCCCAGTGTGGAAATAGGTGTCACGTACACAGGAAGAAAGTGGGAGGAGCACAACCAAATGGGAGAAAAAAACCAGGTTGGTTCGAACCACAATATACAATAATCTCCATCCCGGACTGTAGAAGAACCATCTACAGACAGTAATGTGGGAAAAGCTAAAATGGATGTGCTCCAAGGTGTAGAGTGACTAGGGCACAACAGACCATACACAGCCAGTCAATTCCAGTCCAAAACCAAGCAGCATCAGGATAACTACTTCAGACCTGTGGTAGGAGGAGGAGGGTCCACACCATCTTTGCCTCATTCAAACGTACTAGCTTTGCTTCATAATTATTAAAGGATAAGTACTTAATAAGCTGGAGTTCTTTTGAATTTTCATTAAAAATAACAGAACAAATGATCATGCAAAACTTTCTCTAAAAAACTTTATGCAGTGAAGCTCACATATAAACAGTCTATGAGATGTGAAAGCACACAAACAGATGATTCAAACATTGAAATTATTAAGCAACAGGAAACTACACATTTTACAGATAGTTAATGCAAACAGAGCATATTAATACTGGTAACACTATACATAAATAATAACTGAGCAACATGCATGACAGTAATGTGATACAACACATAAGTGTGTCCAGCAAACTGCTGAACAATTGAGTACAATTAGTTCTATACTTAAATATTTCATTATGGAATATTGAGTCATTTTTACTTCCCATAAAGTTATAGCAGTAAGTGACTTGTTATATATCCATAGTAAGGAAATTCACTGCACTTGCTCAATAAAATTAAAATACTGTTCTAGGAAGCAAGAAAGTTGATGATGGATGTTGAGAGATGGTATTTTATAATCTATGGATAAAAATAATTTGAATTATATTTTCCCAGACTCTTTACTACACTGTACTCTCTCAACAACTCTCCAGACAAGAATGTTTAATTTACAAATTTCCAGGACCTTCTTGATTTTTGAAGGCTTATAAAAACTTAGTTCTTAATGCTTTGATTATTGAAACTAATTAAATTGTCTATGTACATGTATCTGCAGGCTAGAATATATCTTAATTTAAGGCATTTTTTTCACAAACTTTCAACTGTAAAGGTTCAAGTTTTTCACAATAGAAAAACATATATGATGATGCCAACAACGGTTTGTAAAGATTATGTTTAAAAACATAAAGTTATGTATTAAGAAACTCATTGTATCTCTTATGTGTCTATTACATAGTTTTAAAATCAGGCAATTCATTTGGTACACTAATAATTGACAAACCAATGAACTTAAAATTCTCTAACTAAGTCATTTAGAGGCATTTTCATTTTTATTATTGCAATAAAATTATTTACTGAAAAAGCCTTTTTCCCTTTCAGGTTTCTAAATAATGTGAAACTATTTAGTTATTTAACATTTTGAAGTCCTAAGCATTACAAACACCTCTAAACTCAATTAATTTTCCTTAATAGAATGATAGTTTCAACTAAACTAGTAATAAACTTGGATTGAACTGGATGTTTATGTAGTTTTAGGATTGCATACATATACAATAATTTTGAAAATATATCAGTTTTAGAAGCAAAACTTTTAAAAGCTTTATAATATTATTCAGTTGTTCAGCTATTTTTTGTAATCTGAAAAGTTAGTAAAATTCAACTCATCAATTAAGGATTAAACATAAAATTTTTTATAAGTGAAACCAAAACTATGTACTTTATCCACTATCTTAAATTGATAAAAAAACAAAACAAAAAACAATTGGTCTATTCTTCAACGTAGTCCTTTATTTAACTTTAAACAAATTAAAGTATTTCCACCCTAGAAAAAAAAAAATCTAGGCGTATAACCTGTGATAGAATTTGGTTTAAATATGTAAAGTTTTTTTCAAATAGCTCTATAAGATCATTTTTGTTGCTTTTAGTAACCATTATTGGGTCCTTTGTCAAAAGTTACTAGTAACGATTTGTTTGTAAGCTTGAGTAAGGAAGCACATTATGGTAATATAATAATAATAATTAGCAAACAATGATTTATAAGCATAATAAAGTGATTTATTTTTTGGGGAACATACTACATGTTTCAATAGACCAATGTTCTGTCAAAATATGCAGTATGTTTCCCCCAAAATAAAACACTTCATTATGCTTATAAATCATTGTTTGCCAACTTATTATTGCGCTCGTAAGTGAAATCAGTTAAATTATAAGCCCACTCATAATGTAAATTATTTTATATTATCAAGGACAAAATTATTTAAAAACAAAAAGCATTTTATAATTCCTAATCTAAAGGTCATTAAGAATTTCATGTTTGTAACTAATAATTGGCTGGAATGATTTAATTGGAATTATGTTTCACATGCAAACTGATGTAATGTAGTTGGTAATATTATTTCAAACAAAATTTGTTTAAAATTTTAAAAACATATAATAAATAAATATAATTAAATATTTATTAACATAAGTGTTTGTATATACATATATAACTGTGTATGTGCACTGATATATTCCTATATATATATATCTTTGTGTGTGTGTGTATGTGTGTACTTTAGTATATAGGGTGGCCCAAATTAATATTTTTAATTGCTCCAGAGTATTATAATAATTCTTTTTGTTTTTCATCTGTATGATACAAGTTTAATGTAAAAATATATTCCAACAGTGCATAAGCATCACACACTCACTAATAAAGGACCAATTAGTTTTATTGCTGCAATTTAAACATTATCCACAAAGATCTAAGCACTGACTAGTCTATTAATTTTTGGGCCATCAAATACCATCATATACATACGTTGGATTACTTTATTTGAATTAAGAACTCTTAAATGTCTAGTCTTCTAAATAATTTTTAGAGAAATAGGGTACATACAGAGCCACCTAGATGGATAGGAAGCTGATCAACAGCTATATACTCTCCAATAGAGGATTTGTTGATAAACTTAAACCTCACTGTTGCTTCTTCTGGTAACAAGTTCTTTATAATCTTCCAACAGGCTAGAACACATAAAATATGATCTATTCATGATTTAATAATTGTAAACTGGTATGACAATAAGACAGAGATTAAGGCAAGATATTATGATAAGGACCATTCCAATTGGGAAAATGAAGCATAGTATCCTCAAACTGAGAAAAATCATGCACTGAAATTATAATTTTCTTCACAATTTGTAGTCAATACTACATAAATTAATAATTACTTTGGTATTTCTAGTTTTCATCACATAAGAATATAACATACTTAAATATTAACTTGAGTGAGATTACTTTTTCAAGCTAACTTCTTTGTACATTGGGATAACTACAGATGACAATCATTGTAATATATATGTCTTAATAATGGAAAAATTTCACTGTAAAGAGAAAGTAAAATAGCTTGTATTAAAACCTACACATCAGACCAAAACTAGATTGGACTGAAAATATGACACTTAGACCACACACAAAGATCTTGGTCTGGAGATTTTATGGCAAAAAATGATGAGATGGTGAGCTAAATTTTTTTTTCTCATTTTGGATAAATTAAGCCATCCATAATTTTGAACCAACTGACAAGAGAAAAATAATTTAGTCAATAGCTCCCAATGACAGCTCATGAACTGCTCTAATTGCATAATAGGACTTAATACTCACTATTATGCAGAGGCTAAATATGCTACAGTAAACATGGAGCTTCACCACATCATTACAGTCTATGTCTCCACATTTAGTTGCTCCATCTGATAGCCATACATCTTAACAATAGCCCTGCAGAATAGTTTCCTTTGCAAAAGACTCCATTGTAAGGCTGCCATGTTCAAAGCATACCATCTTCCCTGCATGGTTTCCTTAATCCATCTACTTTAGGAGGACAACAGTTCCCTAAAACCTGTTTTTAACAGTCTGATCACACAGAAGTTCATAGTTGTTGGGTCTAAAAACTTGACCAGTTTGTCTCTGTATGAGGTATGCAATGGTTTAATAGATATATCATGGAAGAAACTTGTGTATATGTGATTAGTGTCACTTTTCTAGATGTAGATCCTTCTTAATTTTGTTGCAAACTGTTTCCTGGGGCATGTCAATAGCTTTTGCCATTGACTTTGTGTTCATGGATTATCATTTAATTCAATTGCAAGCGAAAGTGCAATTTTGCAACAATGGGAAGGTGAACCATGGACTCCAGATTCACAATCCAGCATGCTAACTACTAGAGCATGTTTGACACATGAAACAAACAGAAAAGAAGCACTGAAAATTTTTTTTTTCAAAACAAAAGTATACATACCATTAAATAACCAAGGCATTTCATACACATAGACATATCCTGTGAAACAAAACAAAACAAAATTTTACACATTATTACATGAAGCATGTTAATACTATATTCAAAGCTTAAATATTAATAGTTTTTGACATTTTCTCACACAATTAGATGTCTGGAATGATAAAACATATACAACTTCATAAAATCTAAAATATTGATAATAATTTTGATGTTGATTTAGAAAAATATTACTTTAAAAGTTTAACAAATAACAACTAATGTTGCTGAAATGTTAAAACATGAGTATTTTATAATAATATGAAGATTAGTGCAAATCATATATTATTGAACAAAACAGCCACTAAACTGAGTTAAAATCACACAATTATTTATTAAACTTGGCAAGCATTTAGTAAACATGTACAAAAAAAAAAAAATATTACAATTTGTTTATTAAATGCTTGCAAAGTTTCATAGAGATACACAGAGTAAATTCAAAGTTATAGTAAACATTACTTCTCCAATACAGCATTGTTTCAAAGGATCAATTCCATAAACAGAATGATTAAGTCCGGGACAGAAGGTGACATGATTTCCAGTTTGTTAATTAAACTTTATAAAAGGTGATAATAAATAATACTAAAAGCTACTTATTTGACTTAATGATATTTACTCAGAAGATTGGTATTTTCATGGTTTTTGCTATTTATACAGTCTTGTTATATAAAGCCTGAAAATTCATGCTAGATGGCAAAGTTTATAAACTGGATTTAAGGTTTTGTATCATTTTTTTGTTCGTTTTAGTGCAAAGCTGCACAACAGGTTATCTGTGTGCTGTCCACAATTAGGAAATGAACCTTGGATTTTAGTGCTATCAGTAAACTTACCATTGACATATTGGGGACACATAATTTTTAAAAAACTAGAAAAATTAAAAATTTGGTACAAGCTTACAGTTAAAGAAGTAGTATCACATACTTCTACTGATTTAAAATCAGCTTCAGTTTAGCACCACAAAACTCTCTTGAATTCATAACTGTTGCTTAACTAGTTAAACATGTTTACAGGATTGTAAGCTCTTGTTCTTTGTTAGATAGAATACAAATTAATATTAAAAACATAGGTAATGAACATTAGTTTCAATAATAGTAATACTAGCAAAATATTGAGCAAACTGGTTAATTCTAAAGTTCAATATGCTAAATAAACCAATAATTTGTTTATTTCTTAAATTTTTTCCTGCATAAGCTGTCCCTAATTTTGAAGTGATAAAAGTAATAACACAATTTTTTTCTCTGCATTGACTGCAGCATTGATCAGAAAGTTCCAAGTTAATTATTTTAACAGCTTCAACTGTCAACCTTTTAACAACTGCTTTCTTTTAATTTTATGTGCTTTGTATACAAATGGAGTAGTGCTCCTTGCATCGAAAGCAATAAGTCACAGTGGGAGCCTATTAGCTGTTTCTGTAAAGCTAATGTAAAGAGCAGGGTCATGTTACACATATGCTCGAGGTCATTAACTTTTAGACACCTCATTTCACATTTGACTACTTTTGTTGACAAATATATAACAATAAGTAATATATACTTAAAAACAATGGTTCCAAGCACCTTCAACATACTCAAGATTGTACTCAAGTAAAACATTGGAGACATTCTTCTGGAAGCCTCAGTGAGACTCACAAATTTAGATGTCCAAAAACAAAAACAATATGTCATGTAGCTTTCAAAATACATTTTGAAACACACAAAAAAATAAAAATCATTCACCAGATTATAACATCTCAAAACTACAATAACAACAATTTATCTGGTTTTCTAAGTAAGCTATAGATAGGTTTAAAAATATTCCTTGAGCATTCACAGCAGCAAAATATGATCACCACAAGTCAAACAATTCAACTGATTAAGGGTGAGAAATTAAACAATGATTTGTAAACTTCATGTAGAAGAAAATCTGCTCTTGCTTTAGGTTATAAACATGTCTATCAGCTATGTAAAGTTGATTAGTGACAATTTCAAAAGTCACAGAGAGAGAGAGAGAGAGAGAGATAGAGGGCATGAGGCCTCTCTGGAGGATTTGACAAATTTATTGATATCTCAGCAAATCAAGAACGTAGGAGTTTCAATTTTACATTCTTGCTTGTAATTATGTAATGTTTGTGTTTCTAATTGGTTGTAAACTGCAGCAGCCTATTTTTGATGTTAGAAAATTATGAAAAGTAGAAATTAGAGCTCAGACGAGTCATGTGACACAGAAATATGAATATTACTTTTTGAAATTAAGAAGTTCAAACGTAGATAATATATAAACTTGAATTAAAAACCACATTTTCCTGCAAAGACTACTAAACTACAGTTGCTTAATTAAATAACACTGTAGAAGAACTTGACATGTGCAAAAGAGCCAGGCCCAGACGTGAAGAAGTAATTGAGTCAAACGCTAACAATTGCAAAAGCAATCAGATAACTGAGTTACGATCTGATATGTGTTGCATTTCAGAAGCCTATCTAGCCACATTTCTGTTCCATGTCAAGGATTGATAGCTAGAACTCTTCCCAGTTGCACAACTATTCCTACAAATGCTAACATGCTCCTTTGAAAGTTAGAGAGGTCAATTTACAGTACTCATTCTTTGTTAAGTCTATTTTTTTATATATGCACTTAAATGAAATAATATACATATTACTAAGTCAAGCTCCTAATAAACTGGCCATTCAGTGCAGGTTTGTGAGGAAGTTGGAAAAAATGTTTTTATTAATTTAATATCAATGCATTAGTCCTGATTCACACATTGTGCCAACAATAAAAAAATAATAATTTTTTTATGTGTATGTGTGTATAACATGTTAAAAATCAAGAACTGAAGTGTACTAGTAAGTCACTTTTACTTTCATATTGGTGCAATTAGTTTTTTGAGATATATTGTGTTGAAGATAAGTCTCATGAACACATGTGGTAACATCAGGGTTAAAAATTGAAATAAGCTTTGGCAAAAAGTAAATGACATCAAGTCTATATTAATGATAATAAACTGGTACTGATAAGTTTTCAAATGTTTCACAAAGCAAATCATAGACTTACCCAAGGCAAAAGGAAAGTAGTATTTAAACAAAGATACGATATAGAAGGTGAGCTCCATATCCTGTTGTAGGACAGAAAAGAACAAACAAATTATTTTTACAAGCAAAGAATGACACAATTTTAAAATATCCAACTTTAAACTCAGTTAAAAAATATTGTGCATTTTATACTAGCTACAAACACTACATAATATTAATTTATACTATTCAAACCTTTGGACATTAAAACACATATATAATCCACTTACATAAAAACCATAAAATGAAACTTGTAAAAGCAATCCACTATCTGCTGGTGGGAGATCAGTGTGCCTGTCATTTTCAAGTACAAAATCTTTTTTTCCAAACAATAAACAACCTAAAAGTTAATCTAACAGTAACAATAGATGGTTTCAAAACTTGCTAAGACAGATTATATATTGAAGAGGTATTATACTACAATGAGTTTCTGTGACATCATGTTTTCCGAATTAGGTAAGAAGTTTATTTAGTTAACTGAATGTGCATGGGGAACGGTCCATTGGAGAAGGAGCATTGAATATACTTCCAAATTTACTGTATCTACACAAAATACGGCAAGTTTTGAGTAAAATGTACAAGTCTGTTGTACACAAAAAAATCAGATGTGTTATGAAATTATCTGTCCTCAAGATGTGTCTGTGAATTGATGTTAGTCAGATTCAGACTGTTAACAACTTGGAATCGAAGTTTATGTTCACATGAAGAATACAAATACTATTCATTGTGTCATTTTCAAATTGCATTTGCACAACCTCTAAAACCTCCAAAATGCATATCTACAGTTTTTATTAGTATCCCTGCATAATGTCTTTATTATTTACTTTCCTCTACTAAAAAGTGTCACTAAATCAGCAATGAAAGGTAAAATTAAGAGTTTATAAATCTAGCATTAAATACATAATACCCCATTGAATGGCACTCTATAAAAAGATTGTGACATGTACATGTTGACTCATACCCATGTACTGTTAACAAGTAAAAATTTCATGGAATAAAAACATTTGTACAAATACAGGAGTGAAACCACTTGTTTAACAATACATACAAATTTGGAAAGGAAGTGCTTGGTTTGGTTTTGTTGGTTTAATAATGGCTGAGACGGCTTGAATGGGTAATGAAGAAA